CGATATTTTCAAAATGAGGCAACCTGTATAATCTATAAACCTTGGTCGTGAACGATGTATGATGAAAACTTTTTTGACTAACAGTGCAACAGTTGCTCAGTGCTCTTGCTCAATAGTCAATACTCAATAATCCTATTTAATCGATTGGTTATTTAACAATTTTATATATTTTTTTTAGTTTTGTGTTAATAGCAACATGTCAAACGTGATTTAAATTTACCTAGAGTTACTTACTTAAGAGTTGTGCATATTTTAAATCCAGAGATTGAACAGTTAAAATTTTCAAAACTGTTTCTGTTTTACAGTAGGTACCTATAATTAAAAACCGAATGATTTGGTATCGATATAAAAAGGGTGATGTAATAGTTTTTGGACATGTTATATAGGTATGGTTTATATTGTTTAAAATATGATGTCACATGTGTAATACAAACTATAAAGAATCTAATAAAATTTATCTAGTTTATTATAATATATTATCTTGTATTATAAGATTATAGTCTTTTTCCGGGACTTTCATTTCCCAATACGTATACTAATACAGTTATACTATTACTAATACTCATATAATAAACGTATTGCTAATACTAAATTAAACTGTTTCACTAATAGTTAAATTAAAAATTACGAATTTTTTATTTTTAATTGTAACATTTAAAACGTTTTATACGAAAAAAAAATATGTTGCAATAAAATCATATGAAAAAATGTTAATTGATATTAATGAGAAGAAAAGTTGAAAATTGAAAATATCTATTAGTCGCTCGAAACGAGTTGAACAATTTTGATTTTATTCATAAAGATAATTCAGTACCTGAATTAAGAATTATACATATTTATAAGTTTAATCATTTAATACCTACATAACATACTCATTTAGAATACAAAATATAAAACGATATTGAAAATGTACATTTGTATGAAATAATATTATGTATAAATTTAATGTTTTAAACATTTTTAACAGGCAATTTGATGTTTCAAAAGATTTGGATTCAACACAGAACAGTTTAATAAATTGTGATATATTGCCTGAATCGGATTGTAAGTAATTTCTATATATCGCTTACTGTCACTGCAATACCACGTAAATAAAATTTTTTTTTGAAAATACATTTTGGTATCACTATAAATTTCTCTATCACTATTATTAAGTACCATGATTCCATTATATTGTTTTTTCCCGCTAAAATTAAAGGTTTTGTGATACCACGCATTACATTTTGATATTGAAAAACAAATTAACAAAATAAAAATTAATGATAAACGGGAATTTTTACACTAAAATCTGTTTTCGAAAAAATCGATTTTGGTTTTTGGTGCAACTCTTAAACAAATGACCGTAGGTACATGCAATTTTGACTGAATGTTTATATTAGCACTTTCACCATGAGCACTTTCTATACACGATAACATTTTCAAAATGTTTTGATTTATTTTGAACTGTTTAGGCACATTTTCATTTTCCATTTTTTTTTTTAGTTTTTTTTCTAAAAATATCAATTAAATTTTATTTGTTGGTTAAAAAAGCTTGACAATTTAATACAAGGCTCCTACTATATTGTTACAATGGCATTTGAAAAATATTAAAAATCCTTAGTCTCAGTTTTTAGCAAATTATTTTGAGTTAAGAATTCGTAAAACTTTTTCTTTTTAAATCTAAGATTTTAAAATGTAATACAAGATTCCTTATATGATTATCTACCTGTATCAAAAAAAAAAAAAATGTCTATAAGAAAGTCAAATTAAATTTTTATGAGCATTTGAAATTCAAATTTTTACAACGTTGGATATTCACTCGATTTCTCATGTAGCGATTTCCTTATTTTGTTGTAATTCAATAACGAATAACTGTAGATACATGCACTGAATGTTTATAATAGCATTTCAAATTTCCTACACACCATACAATTTTGAAAATATTTTGACTCTTTTTGAGCTGTTTACGGACATTTTCAGTTTCCAATTTTTTTAGTTTTTTATTCTATACATATATATAAAGTTTTATCTGTTGGGCCAAAAAGTGTAAAAATGTAATACAAGGCTCCTGATATATTGTTACATTATCAGTTGAAAAATATTTAAAATACATATGCACAATTTTTTTTTATAAGCATTTAAAGATCGAATTTTGACAAAATTTATCAAATTTAAAATTTAATAACTATTTTGTAGTTAAAAATTTATAAAATGTTCAACTTTTATATCTAAGGATTGAAAATTTAAAACACTTAAGTAGTTAATAAACCAAAAAATCTAAAAAAATACATAAGCACAGTATATTTTTATAGTCATTTTAAGTTCAACTTTGGACAAAATTACATAAAGAAAAACCTAGAATAACTATTTTAATTATTTTGTTGTGATTGTGTAATATTATTCGTAATTACTTTAAACTTCTAAAGTACACTATTATATATCTATGGATTATGGACTATGATAGTATCAGGGTTTGTTGTTGGTGTATAACGCGTTATAAGTACCTAATGGATATTGTGATATGATTAATTTGGAATTTATTATAGGTACCTTTTTTAAGTAAATTTTTTTTAAGAAGATGGTTAAGTATATAATATGTCTTATACTTAGCCTGACATACCATCTCTGCTCAGAATCGTTTTTCTTATACAATGATATTATATCATTGAATTCAAATTTAATACTATCCATTATACAGTGACCCCCACTTGTAACCTACTGTACAGCAGAACACCTTTTTTTTTTTTAGTTAATTGTTGTATTATTCAAAGCCAATTTATCATAAAAAAGTCTGCTAATAAAATCTAAAATGGACATATTATTATGAATAAGGCATATACTCTATGCCATTTCGGTACAATCTTTTAAATTTTATACAAAAGGACATTTGGCTGATAGAAATAGTGTATTCAAAGTTTGAAATAATATGGGCTCTTGAACAATAAATGATTTTAATTTAAGTTTATGTACAAGGTAGGTACCTAATTAAATAATATAAATAATTTAACAGCTAATACGAAATTAAAATAAATAATATACAGTAAAAATGGGTAACTCTAGGCTTACGGTGTAAATTCTGAAAAACAATTTAAATTTATATTTTGGATCCTTCTGAGAATTGATAAATTGAGAACATTATTACAACAAAAATATTATGTAGCCATTTCAAATGAAAAAAATACATCAGTTGATATTAACTACCTCCAAACCATAATGAAACTTTAGACTTTAGAGTTAAACAATTCATATAAAAATATCCCTATTTTTATAATTCAAAACCAATAATTGGCATATTGTATGATAATTTGATTGAAGTGTGGATTTTTAATTATATTTGTAATTTTGTATACTATACTTGGGTATAATTACAAGTTAATTTAAAAAAAAAAATCTATGTTTTGTCTAGACCTATTTTTATTTAATTATTATTATATATTTATTAGAATGTGTTAATTTCTCTTATTAAAATATATTTAACAAAGTTTAAAAAATATTTTGAAGATGTAGTATCAAGTATGGAAAATTGACATGTAAACATTTGGTTAAAATATAAAGCATCTATGATTATAACTTTTTGTGTTATACCAAAAAAACTGAATCTTTTTTTTGTCAAAAACTTGTTTTGCCTAAAAATCACTGTTTTTCCTTAGTAAACTTTGCCCAATTAAATCTTGTATTATCAATATTATGAAATCGGGTTATAAGTAATAAATGTAATTTGTAACAAAGTTACTTAAATTTAAAATGCCTAACTGATTACTGATAACTATGTAACTTTTTAGGGAGGTCTATTTTGTATGCGGTACAAACTACTTTCTTATTGGAAAAACTCAAATTTGTATGGTGGCGTTCGGACAGTTCTAAACGTCTAACGTACGGAAATAGTTCTACGACTTACAGTAGAGAGTTAGTACCTAATGCCACTAGTCAAGGCTGGGCAAGTTAACGATTTTTTTTAACTCGTTAAGTTAAGTTATTTTAAAATAATAAAGTTAAGTTAAATTAAAAGTTAATCATATTTTTTACGTTAACTCGTTAAGTTAAAAGTTAACTTTGAAAAAAAAGTAACTTAACTTAGTTTAAAGTTAAAATTTTCTATTTTGCAAAAATAAAAAATTGCACACATAATATTAGTTTTTTTACACTCAAGAAAAATACTAGGGAAATTTTTTAAATGAGACATAAAAGTATTAACTAGCTATCAAAAAACCTACTTTTCCAAAATAAATCTTAGTCCTGAACTCATACTCAAATCAATTTACCCAAGTGGTACATCAAAAAAAAAAAAAAAAACACCTTAATAGTTTTCTCCCAACTGCCAAGATACCAATATTTTTAATTGATTCACATAAATTTTAAAAATCAAACAGGCAGTACCTACCACCCAAATATATTTTCTATACTGAGGACAAAATGCAGCCACCGTGTAGTTTTAAAACCTAGGCTCAGCACAACATGAACAATTATTATCAGTAAAAATATAATTACTTTGTACTATATTATTACGTTCACGACAACATTCGACATCCACTTCAGGGAACCCATTTAAACGATAATCTGTATAACCTATCTTTGAAAATATTATTAATACAATTTATAATGATAAACGTGTAGGTAGATATTATTTAGCCCATATAATGACTATTAAAGTTATTTTTCATATTATTTTCGTCTACAGGAAATTCATATTAAAATAGTAAATCATAAAATATACTAAAAACCTCATTAATAATTTGCATTTTTCTTTGCACTAAAATTAACTTAATTTAGATAATTTTAAATAAAATTAACTTAAAGTTAACACGTTAATCTTAAAAAAAAAGTAACTTATTAAGTTAAAAGTTAATTTGTAAAAAAAGTAACGAGTTAATTAACTTAATTAAAATTAACTTAACGTTTTAACTTAATTTTAACTTTTAACTCGTTAATGCCCAGCCTTGCCACTAGTGTTAAGAAGTATACAACAAGTACTATTGTGGTATCTATTAATTGTATTTTATGATTTTAGTTTGTGGACAAGTATGGCTGCTCATCATGATGATACTCGGTTTTACGTAACTGATATCGTTATAAACGATTATATGAAATTAATTGTTGAACGTTTCCCTAGTGTATATGCTTTCGATACATTCTTTTATTGGTACAACGCTGTGAAGCGATGGACAAAAAAATTAAATATTTTCTCGAAGTCAAAACTGCTGATTCCAATAAATATTAATGAAATGGGATATAAGTACTGGGTACTTGTGTGCGTAAATGTCCTTCAAAAACAAATATGTTATTATGACAGTATAAACACTAGAGATGTATATGGCTGTTCAAATAAAATATTGACATACTTATCTTATGAGCACAGCCATAAATTAGGTAACCCTCTACCGATAGAAGAATGGGGTGTTCAAATGCCTGGAAACCCCAAGCAAAATAATGGATTTCACAGTGGAGCATTCATTTGCATGTTTGCATATTATCTAGCACATGACCAAGCATTCAATTTCACACAAGCAGATATGTGGTCTTTTAGTATGCTAATGGCTTGTGAGCTAACCTTAAAAAAGATTCTGACATCAGAAGAACAAATAAAATCAGAATTGGCCGATAGTATGTTATATAGTATAATAAATAATAATTAACACATTAATTTATTTTTTTGATTATAATTTTTCAGATAGTCATTTAAAATTAGAACGATAGCACTTATGACTATCACACGTTCCACACACTTATCGCACGTCTTCGGTCACAACGTCATTTCAGTTTTACTTTTATAAAATATGAAATCTGGCACTTGACCGTCAAAGTCTTCTTTCAAACGGCATCATTCAAGTTCAAGTCTGTCTCCCCAAACAGAGGGGAAGAAAACCAAGCAATTTGTTTTTACAAACAAGTTTGCTATTCTGTCCCAAGATACAAGTGAGTTTGTATCCCTTCCACTTCATTCTATTAATCGGGACAAACTCTCTAACTCATCGACTACCAGTCAAGCACGAATCCCAGACAAAACACACTTTATCTCACCCCTCTTTTACGTAAGTAGTGGTTACGATTATTCTACCCTCACAAAGGAGTTATTAGAACTATTTTAACTACTATTTTACCTTGTAAATAATAAAATATAATATAGGTTATTGAGTAATTGTATATATGTATATTTGTTAATTTATTATTCTTTTTAAAAGTTAAGTTAATATTATACATAATAATTAGTTTTAGATATATTGCTTAATGTTTATATTATTAAGTATAATTGTGTTGTGTATTATGGAATGTATTTATAAATTTATATTTTTTAAAGTATTTTGAGAATTAAATGGCATAAAAAAAATCCATTTGGAATACTAAAAATTGTTAGGTGTCAAATCCTTGTTTGTGTATTTAAAATATCATTCTTCAAATAAGTTTTATTATATTTATAACTTTAGGAAATATGTAGATAGCTAAATAATCTGAACAAATAAGTTTAATTTAGGTACTTAAGGCGGCTCTAAACGATTGGATTTTTCATGCATTTAGACCAATAAGCTGGCGAAAAATACACATACTTCTAGTAGTCCAATTTCAATTTTGAATACTTATTTGGATTCGTTAGCCTCTTTTCTACAATGTACATTTGAGTAAATTAGAAAAATATTTAAAGGTAAAATTATTATCTAGGCATCTCACGAGATTTATACTAAAATACACGTATATGATTTACGCATCATATCCCAAATTTATACTACAATTATATATTTATATACGTCATTTATATGTTGCTGACTACACCAATTAATATACTCGTATAGTCGTATATAAACTAAATAAACCCGTGATCTTTACGGGAGCCGGAAAAAAAGTCCAGGGAAAAATGTACACGGAAAAAAAGTCCGACAAGAAAATTATTATACGGAAAAAAAGTCCGGTTTGATTTATTGTTTCATAAAAAATATTGTTTCATAATTAATAAAAATAATAAATATATATAAAAAAAAAAAACCGGTCAAGTGCGAGTTGGACTCGCCACTCGCGCACCGAGGGTTCCGTACAAACCTGAAACCTGTAGGTATATAAGTAAAAGTTCAACCAACACGACAATCGAGTCATAGTTATGGTATTTTTATTGCAAAATGAAATTTATAACATCAAAATATGAAAAGCTGGAGGATCATAAATTAATGACAAAGGTATCTTTATCGTTAAATTGTTAAATTGTTCGGCTTAAATTGTTATTATTTCTTTCGATTGCGTTGACATAAAAGTTTGATTTTGTTACAGTTTAAAGGTATTATAGACTTAAGTATTTAATATGAATTTTAATTTAATACCTCAACGCGTTCATGAGATAAGAAGTAGTAACTTTGAAATTTTCAAAATTGTCAAAAATATTTTATTTTTATATGATGAAACTAAAAATGTATGGTTTTCGTAATTTTTCCTATATCTGTACTATAAGACGTGACTTCGTACGAAATTTCAAGATTCTAAGTTCACGGGAAGTACCCTGTGGGTTTTGATTCCCGTGCGAGTTTCGAAAATTTGCGGCCTAAATGGCTGTATCTTTTGATTGCGTTGGCTTAGAAGGTTGATTTTTCTACAGCTTCCAGGGACAGTAGACCTGAGTATCATATAGAAATTTCAGTTTGATACCTCCACGCGTTTCTGAGAAAAACGGTCTTGACAGACGGACGGACAACAAAGTGATCCTATAAGGGTTCCGTTTTTTTCTTTTGAAATACGGAACCCTAAAAATAAAATTACTTAATGTATAATATATAATATAAATTTAATTTAAAACTATAAATAATTAAAATTAAAAACTAATATTTATTTCGTTTTCGAATGCAATGGCCAATATTAATTAAAAATTCTTCCACCGATATTTCGTCAATGGCCACTCTAGAACATACGTTTTTTAAACGTTCACCGGTACGTTTTTTTGGTGTTGGAATCCCTTCACCTAATTCTTGTAACGCTATTTTAGCTCTATCTACTCCTAACTGTTCACGTATTTTAGAAATTAACTTCCAGACGGTTGGGTGCGAGTGTCCGACAAGATGCGTAAAACGGCGTTGTTCCAACTCTCGCAAATATTGTTTGTACGATGTTGACCGTTTATCGTAGCCTCGTGAACGTTCCATATTTCTGGTGTAAATTTCTGTTTATTTTTTTTTAATTTTATAGCCATACCTTTTCCTGACTTTCTATAATATATGTACCATTGGGCATTGACATACGTGGAATCGAAATAATCAAGAACCTCTGTAGCTTCTTCTGTACAAACCGTCTTTAAATATTGCATTCCGTCGTAAACTTTATTCATTGGCAAAAATTCATTGGCTAACCCGTCTAACATAGCAAAAAAATGACTTAATGTATCATCCGTTTTATATTTGGCTTGTACCTAATCCTACTTCAGAGTACTTCTTGTATCTTGCGATACGTATTTTGAGACAAGTGATAAAAACAACCTTGTATACGGACGTGCTCGCCGAGAACACACTGGGCGGCATTTATAGTAGGTAGCTTGTTCAAAATCTAAATTTATAATTTGTGGATCCGGGTAAAATTGTCGATTGTCACATTCTTTTAGAATTACGCTAAAAACTTCTTTGTAAGTACTATAATTTTTTTTTTGAAGAAAACAGTAAACTACAGTTACAAAAACATCATATTTTTTCACTCGAAAAACATATAACTGCAGGAAGTTTTCTGGACTTAACGAAAAAATACCATCACAAGGGTATTTCATATTTTATCTTATAATACAGATTAATTGTGCTATCTTTATTGCCTTTTAATGTACACGAATTTTCTATCATATATTCTAGTATATTTTTTCTATCTACTTTACCTTAATACCTTCTATTTCTGTAGATTGTATAACGACGTGAAATTTTAATTCTTTATAGTTTTAAATTATATTAGATCATACCAATCATATATATTATTAATTTTGAAAACCAGACTTTTTTTCCGGAATTCGATCTTTCATGTTAATCCACGAAATTAATACTAAAATATACTTATATGGGATATGATATACGACTCATATCCCAAATGTATACTTCTATTATATACGTATTTTAAACGTAATTTATACGTTGTTAAATGCTCACTACATAGTATACTCGTAGGCAGTGCTTGAATTTGAAAAAAAATAGAAGGGGTATGCAAAAGTATAAAACATTTGTGCGTCCCCCCAACATTTAAATGTCTTATCAATTCTTGAAATTAGAAGGGGTACGCTAATATATTTTAAAAATAGAAGTTGGACTCCGTCCCCCCGCGTCCCCCCCCCCAATTCAACCACTGCTCGTAGGTATATACACTTTTTAAAAACATAATTTTTGCCACTAATTTAAACGTATTTAAAACGTTGAATATACGTTAGTATTTGCGTTTATTACACATAATATACGTTGAATATCTATCTTTTGACCCAAAAATGGGTGGTGAGGACTGGGGAGGCGTAGTCCATTTATTGGTAGTATTTATTTTCGTATTCAGTTTATTGGTCTATATGCAATATGCTGACATGCTGTAGACAGCCACCAGCAGTTGTCCGAAAAATGATAAGATAGGTAAGACTCCGTGTACATAACGCGCTGATAAGTGGTATTGTGATAACAAATAATGTACCTGGACTCTACGACGTCGTCTCGACGTACACTTGACTCTTTAATAGTATACACTGAACTGATATTCTGTGGTCTCGATGAATATTATAATAGTACTATAGTAGAGTACTAGTCTAGTAGTCACTAGTTCTAGACAATTACAAAATGTAAATATAGTTACCAACTACCAATATTTATTACGGATATTAGCTCTGCGGAATAGAAGACTTCATAATCTAAATTTGTGTTGAATGGTTCATTAAAACCGTTTCGTTTCCAATGGCAAACGATACGGAAATTCTTCACTATTTATGGAATGGGAAGTTAGCTGTATGCTTTCAATTAGATGAACAAGAAATTCATGGTATACAAAATCCAGAGCCATTTTACTTGATGGTACCTAGAATGAGTTACTTTCCATTGGTCTGCGATAAAGTAAGTTTTCGAACAATATGAATATAATTTTCAATTTATAGGTACCGAGTAACTACTGAATGTTTTTGTCTGACTAATGGTCACGGGCAGGGCCTGATTGGTATGTATCGGCCCATCAAGATTTTCACTTCTAAGCGGCCCATTTACATATTCAGTGGTCCAAATTATAACGAGCTTATAGGTGGCCAATCGTATTTTAAACATGAATTTATTTACACTCACACGACCGGCCCAAACTTTAGGCAGCCCAGATTTTCTCGGTAGCTCGCCTAATCAATCTGACCCTGGTCATGGACAATGGTAGCGCTTCTTCTTTTAATGTGATGGCCATACATTGTGGTGCTATGGTGTAATAATTAGTAATTAACGATATCCCTAGTTAAATTTTAATAGTTATATTAAATGATTTACAAAGGTTATACATAAAATAGATTATTTTTTGTTTCTTCCCAGTAGTGTTCTAAACACACTTTTTATACAATATTTTGACAATTTCTATACAAAATCTTAACTGATTTTTAATTAATTTGTATAAAATTATGAGCTAAATTTGGTAACTATCTCTGTAATTTTTATCAATTACTATTTTAAGTACATGCAGAAAAGTATTTTACAGTTACAAACAAGCTAAACATAAATTTAGGTTTCGGTTAAATTTACTTAAACCCGGTAAATTCTACCCCAATATTTAATATAGGATAGGAAAATAGTATTTCTGGTTATTACTGTTTGTCACAAGTTAGAGCGGCTTACATGGTGCTGGGAATTTCAGGCCAGTTCAGTGGTGACAAAGCTACTTGCTTAAAAAATAGAACCCTAAACTATTAAATATCTTGGCTGGAGACAATAGCTTTTTAGTCTCTTCAATAGCTTGCTAGCTCAATAACAAAGCTAATTCTGTTTACATGAAGCTAGAGATACTCACTTAGCACTATTTTGATATACTATCCTTGTGTAAGACAGGTATTATACAATTGAGCTATTTGCTTATTATATCATAAATTCTATTAGCTTAAATAATATTGAAATTTATTGATAATCTGAATTCTATTTCCTCAGGTAAAAAAACATTTTGTGAAGCATGTGGATCCTGAAAAACAAGAGATGGAAATGTGGTTAGAATTTAAGAATGTTCCATTAAAATGGTAAGTTATTGTGTTTATACTAATAAAAATAGAGATATTAAAATCTAATGACCGATAACTTATGATACAAATTTTTAAGAACCAAATCATTGTCTCTGCCGTTTAAAATAACTCATTTACTTTTAGAATTATACCTGATTGTTTTATCTTTCATTATTATTATGGACTATGGTTGAATTAGTGGTGATTACTGATTGGATAGTTGAATGACACCATACAGACCATCAAGGATCAACCTGTTGTTTGATCAAGAATTGTTTTATCTAGAAAAAGATTCATTTCAACTAGTTGCTACCTAATGCAAATCTTCTTCTTTTTCTAGTGTCCATCAGTGTATTGACCTGATGCAAATAATATATTTATTTTCTACAGTTGATAATTGATATTATCTACATTATGAATCAATCACACTAATAATTAGAAGTATAAATTTTTGTAGCATTTAGTTTTAATTTAATAATTATTATTAAAAGTTAAAACCAATAGCAAAAATATTTAAATAAATAGTTTTTAATTTATATAGGAATTATCCTATTGGTGTTCTTTATGATCTATTTACAACCGATGATAAACAAGTTGATCTACCATGGAAAATAACTGTTCATTTTGATAATTTTCCTGAAGATCAACTATTGCGATGCTCATGCCGGTAAAATAATTTATGTTAAATGTATCCTACAAATTATTAATAATATTTTTTTTTTATAGAGAAGCTATAGAATCTAATTTTATGTCATCAATGAAAGAAGCTGATATGCTTAAACACAGAAGTCAAGTATTTTCTACAATGCAACGACATCAACACAATCAATTATGGACTGGACTACTTAATGGTAAATTATTTTTAATACATTATATTTTGTAAAATAATTCAATATTACATCTTAGATAAATTTGATCAGTTTTGGTCAGAAAATAAAAAACTTATGGAACCATTTGAAGGAAGTTATTTTAAGCACATACCAGTACATTTTTATCGATCAGGATCATCAATTATGACACAAACACTAGTTAAGCCAGTTTCAGAAGATGGAAATCAAATGACTTTGGGAGAACTGATGAAACTGAATTATCCATCAGTGGATAATCGTAAGTTTGTCTATATAATTAAAAAGTTTATTTTAATATTGAAAAAATATTATTTGTTTTCAGCTAAAGTTTTTACTCATGGCATATGCATACCTCATGAAACACCAGTTCAATGGATGAGTGAACACATGAGTTACCTTGATAATTTTTTACATTTAGTCGTTATCTAATATATATAATATATGAACAATTAATATAATATATCACATATTATTGTGTTGAAACAAAAAAAATATGAAATAATATTGATAATTTTATAATTTCTAATAAGATCACCAATTTTTTTACATACATAATTTTTTTTACTAATTTATACCTGGCACAAACCGGCCTTTTTTGATAGCTTTCTTTTTTGTTTTTTCCTTTTTTTCTTGTTTTTTTTTCAATAAATTATTTGTACGCTTATCTTGCTTTTCTTTCTTGGTCTTCTCCAGAGTATTTGCTCTTTCTTCCCATTTTGTTTTACTAACCTTTTTCTGTCTGTCTTTTCTGGCAATGGTCTTTTTTAATAATTCCACATTGTCTTTAACTTTTACCCCTTCAGCTTTGGCCAAGACGTTCTTCCAAGCATCACGTTCTCTCAACTCTTTGGCTTTCTCAGTTTCACCAGATTTTTCTAGTTCATTATACATTTGTTCCTTTGTTTTAATTTCGTCTAAAGCCACCTTTGCTTTTGTACTAGTTGGAGGTGAAGCTATTTCAGTTTGTTCTCCTAAGAAATTTATCCGATTGAATACTAATTTAGTCTTGCTATTAGTACCATTTACTTTAGGAGGCTTTTCATTTGTTTTTTCAACACTGTCATTTGGTTTTTTTTCACCCTTCATTTTTTCATTTATCTTTTTTTTTCTTTTAATCTTATTTTGAAGTTTATTTTTAATTATTTTTCCTCGGTAAGTATATTTCTTTTCTAAATAAAAGTGAAAAAAAAAGTTTATATTTAAATATAATACATATGATATTTGATTCATAAAATTATTCACTTGTAATGTAACAAAAAAATTGAGTTCAACTCATTACAATATTACGGTAATATTGGTCAAAACTTAGGCCACTGACCGCTATTACTAAACATTACCATTATAAATGTATAACCCTAACAAACAACATTTTTAATTTTGAAGTAGGGCCACAGTAGTGATTTTCAAATGTTAAAAGTAAATAAAATGTAGGTACCAGCTGTACATAATGTTTCACAACAAAAAAACCATTTAAAAATGTCCACATTTCAATTGAAAATGCATGATTTAGCGCTACAGTAATTATTATCATAAGTAACTAAAATAATGTCTATGGAGACATAACTATTGAAAAAAACAAAATATTATATAAGGGTCGTACATTTATAACAGCTAGTGGCCTAGAAAGATCACACACAAAAAGTACTGTACCATCTTACATTTTAAGTCAAATTAATACATTATGAATTTTGACTAAAACATTTCAAAGGTGAAATACATTTTTTTCATAAAATAATAACATAACAAATTAAGTTTTGACACTAAAAATGTACGTTTGTATTGCTTACCTCTTATTGCAGCAAGTCTTGTATGTAGTTCGTCTAAACTTTGGGCTCTGTTTATTTCATCACTTGCAAGTATTGGCTCTAAACAAAATCATTCAGTCAAGAACATACTTAAAATATATTAATAGGTACATAAAAAAAAAACAAAATAAAGCTTACTTCTAACTTTTTCATTACTATCGCTTTCTTCTGAATCTGAAAATATATACATAGGAATAAATTACCATATTATTATAAGTGGATTACAAAGTTTACAAAAAGGGCACCCAAGCCTAGGATGATACATTGACATGTCAACTATTGAATTGGTTTAATCAGCTCATATCGCATTTGCAAAATTTAAATAGTAATTATATCAACACTCCAGATCAAAATGCGGATTTTACCGATATCACTTGAATACTCGATACATTTTTCGTATTTATTTTACAGTAACATTTTTTCGACATGAAGATGCACATGTTTATAAAATAATTTACCTGAGTCTTCTACGCGCTCCGGCAGTTTCACTTGATTTAGGACGGCGCTGACGAAATCGAATTCTTTATTGAAAAGGCTCTTCACGTCGTCTTGGTTTAACGACAACATTATTAGTTTTTTATTTTCGTTTTAAATTTTAAAGTTCAACACAGCCGTCAGTAATTGTTAAACTTTGTTATTTCAAAAGAATAACACACATTTTTTCAATGGTCTGTATTCCGTTATCATTTGTTTTTATCACCACTGTCGACAACGTTAATTTTTAAAGTATAAAATATATTACTATGCATTTTTATGCGGTGCACAGACACACTGTTCGATTTATCAAGACACGCGGCTGTTTCAAACATAATTTTATGGATTTAAAGATTGTATAATACGATTAATACACATTAATATTCATAAGCATAACTCATAAAGTCATAACTCATTAGTTATTACTTTTTATTAATCTAGACCTATCTAAGGCTTGGATATTCGGAACTTAATTGCACTTAACTCTTTGAGGAGCATGGACGTATACATACGTGATACGTTTTTAAAATATACCGTCCAAAAGAGCACGGAAGTCTTCGCTCATAATTTTTTTCCAATTTTTCATTCCTAAGTACCTCCCTGAATTGAATTTACGTAAATCAAGGCTGCTCCTCAAATGGTTAAAAGTACTAAATACACATGCACTTTATATGCGCTCAGTGGCGTTTTCTCTGGGTGTGCAAGTTGTGTGTTAACGCCCTAAACATTGATGTCATACATGTGTGTAATATTGTAATTTGTAGTTCATATTAGTATATTACATGGTTATATAATTTTATTTACAAAATCTTAAAATAATTGTCATGTAAAAATAATAATATCAAATAATAAACTATTGTCTATTTTAAGCTCTAAACTCGACCATGCGCCCGCGCCGTCTGCACTCTGCAGCTACGACGCCGATTACGGAATAATATTGTATTATGTTGTGTTTGTGCAGGGTGTAGCCGTGTAGGACGTTAATAATTCGAACAACGACTTGTGGTATCCAAGGCTGGGCAAGTTAACGATTTTTTTTAACTCGTTAAGTTAAGTTATTTTAAAATAATAAAGTTAAGTTAAATTAAAAGTTAATCATATTTTTTACGTTAACTCGTTAAGTTAAAAGTTAACTTTGAAAAAAAAGTAACTTAACTTAGTTTAAAGTTAAAATTTTCTATTTTGCAAAAATAAAAAATTGCACACATAATATTAGTTTTTTTACACTCAAGAAAAATACTAGGGAAATTTTTTAAATGAGACATAAAAGTATTAACTAGCTATCAAAAAACCTACTTTTCCAAAATAAATCTTAGTCCTGAACTCATACTCAAATCAATTTACCCAAGTGGTACATCAAAAAAAAAAAAAAAACACCTTAATAGTTTTCTCCCAACTGCCAAGATACCAATATTTTTAATTGATTCACATAAATTTTAAAAATCAAACAGGCAGTACCTACCACCCAAATATATTTTCTATACTGAGGACAAAATGCAGCCACCGTGTAGTTTTAAAACCTAGGCTCAGCACAACATGAACAATTATTATCAGTAAAAATATAATTACTTTGTACTATATTATTACGTTCACGACAACATTCGACATCCACTTCAGGGAACCCATTTAAACGATAATCTGTATAACCTATCTTTGAAAATATTATTAATACAATTTATAATGATAAACGTGTAGGTAGATATTATTTAGCCCATATAATGACTATTAAAGTTATTTTTCATATTATTTTCGTCTACAGGAAATTCATATTAAAATAGTAAATCATAAAATATACTAAAAACCTCATTAATAATTTGCATTTTTCTTTGCACTAAAATTAACTTAATTTAGATAATTTTAAATAAAATTAACTTAAAGTTAACACGTTAATCTTAAAAAAAAAGTAACTTATTAAGTTAAAAGTTAATTTGTAAAAAAAGTAACGAGTTAATTAACTTAATTAAAATTAACTTAACGTTTTAACTTAATTTTAACTTTTAACTCGTTAATGCCCAGCCTTGGACTGGTATCTAATATCTCGTATTCGTAATTTGTCGTGATATTTTCGGATAACTTCGGTGCCATGTTAATACTAGACCAAGTCGTTGAAAATGAAATTAACGACTAGTCACTAGTCACTAGTCTAGCGCTAGCCTATACAGTATACACTGTGTTTGGACCGTTAGTGGGGATCGTAGCGGCTGCAGTGCTGCACGTTATCCTGTTTACGTCGTAGCCCATAGGTACTATACTACAAGACTGCAACGCCGATCGTCGAAAACATAATATATAATAAATAATTTTAATAATATGTTGATTATTAATAGTTGATACGAATTTATTTCCCATAAGGGGGGTTTTCCTAATTGTTTTCCTCACACATTAACGCCTAACGACGAAAGTCAGGAAACGCCACTCATATATAAAATACAAATATGTTTTAAAAATATGCACTTATTTTTTTTTAGATTAAGAACTGAGCGATGAATGTATTGATTCAGTGGCGTCCGTAGGGGGGGGGGGCTAACGGGCTGAAGCCCCCCCCACCCATTGCCGTATTATTATTACTTTAAAAAAAGTATATTTTTAAAGTTTCAACTGTCAACTATAGTAAGCAAGACATAAATTTCATACACGTCTTACCAGAATGAATTCATTCTTGAAAAAACATTGTATTTGCATACCAATTTTCCTAAAATGATCTGTTATTTTTCGGTAAAAGTACCTATGAACTACTTGTATGAAAGACCTTGTGTTAAATTGTCTAGCCTTAGCTATACAGTATCCACATTTAATGTTTTATAAGTTTTGAACTACAAATTAACTGTGGTTTTGACGAAATTTGAACTTTAAATACTTATACAAAATAACCATGATGCCTATTTATAGTTAATATTTTAGTTATGATAAAAACTTACATATTACATTTTTAATCTTTTTGAACGGATAAATAATTTTTTATTGGCATTTATAGAAAAAAAAAATTTTAATTAATCAATACAATCCAAGTGAGGACGGTCCGACGGTATAACCAAGCTGTTTACCAAACTATTTTAATAAATTTTCATTTTTTATCTTCAATTATTTTAAAAAGAACTGAGCATTTTCAATTTTGACCTCCTAAAAGTACCAACTAGATCCAATTAGCTTCCAAAAACATACATCGGGCATCAAACCTTATGATCAAAGCATTTTTTTTCTACCAAAAAAGTTGAAAAGTTACAAACATTTTAAAATACCTCAAATAAACGTCTGAAATTATTAGATTGGACAGAATAAAAATAAAATTGTAACTTATTTTCAAGCCCCCCATTGAAAAATCCTGCTTACGCCACTGTATTGATTTATAATAGAATGATGAGTGTTTTTTTTAAATTTTTTGTCTGTCATCACCGTTTAGGGCACTAACGCTCCTTCGATTTTCTTCAACAGCATATTGTTCGATGGGAAAGTGGATCTAGTTGGTGCTTTTGGGAGGTCAAAATTTGAAATTCGAAATAGTTTTCAAAAGCGTAGGGAACAACAAAACAAAAATTAAGAAAAACCGGTAATTTTTACGCAAAATCGATTTTGGTTTTTGGAGTAATTCTAAAACAGTAGATACACAACATTGTCACAATGTCACTGAATGTTTATATTAGTTTTTTCTATACACAATATAGATTTTAAAATATTTTGGCTTGTTTTGAAGGGTTTACAGACATTTTCAGTTTCAAATTTTTTTAGTTTTTTTTTCTATAAATGTCAATTAAATTTTATTCGTCTAGCCAAAAAGCTTGATAATTTAATACAAGGATCCTAATATATTGTTACAATGACAGTTGAAAAATTTTAAAAATACATAGTCTCAATTTTTTTTAAACGCATTTAAAGTTCAAATCTTCACATACATCATGAAAATTTGCAAATTATTTAATTAATTTATAAAAAAAAATTCTTTTTAAAATCAAGATTTGAAAATTTAATACAAAATTCCCCATAAGTTTGTATACAAGAAAGTCAATTTAAATGTTTATGAGCGTTTGATTTTCATATTTTACAACATTGGATATTCACTCGATTTCTCATGTAGCGATTTTATTATTTTGTTGTACTTACTTCAAAAACGAATAACTGTAAATAAATTAAAATTTTACTGAATATGTATATTCTTATTTTCTATACACCATAAAGTTTTGGAAAAAAGTTTGTTGGACCACATCCCCCCCCCCTAGAATTTTCACCACCACTCTATATTATAATTTAAAATAATGGGAGGGATTGGACGTCATTACTTCTGTGGATTTGAAATTCGCCCCCCCCCTCATACCTAGGATATATCCTCCACTGACTGACCGTCTTCACTCAGAATCTTTTTCTTATATTAATCATTGAATTCAAATTTAAGACCATCCATTACAGTGACCCTCTTGTGAAGTTGTAACCAACTTACAGCAGAGAAACAATTAGGTACTTGCCCACTTTTTCACTCACAATTTTCATAAACACATACCTATATTTTTTATATTTATTATAAATTGAACTAAATAAGTATTTTTTAATAAGAACATGAAATCGTATGTCAACAATGGATTTGAAAAACGTGATACCTATAACCTAGTGAAATTCTCAAAATAACATTAGAAAGTATAGGTATATTTTTTTTTATTGTCAAATTTTCAAATTGTATAATTTAAACATATCATTGATCATTAAATATGCTCTAAAAAATGGCAAAATTGAAAAATACTTACATGCTCTTAAAATAAAATTACAAAATCACTAAGTAGGTAGGTATACAAAAATATGCACTATATAGGTACCTATTAATTTTTAATATTCTTTTCGCAGTGTCGTTAAATTAATTTCAAGCTTACTTAACAATAAATCTAGCAGGTAGCCCAAAAAAAACATGCAAATATATCAACATCTTAACCCTTATTATTACTTACCATGTCGTATTTAGGGGTGGCATTTAGGGTGCTGTTGTCAAAAGGGGCTTAATTTCGGTCGTGTCGTAAATCGTAATCGAGTACCTAATCGTATAATCTAGTCACAATCCTGGAAAAAAATGTGTTTAAAACAAAAATAAATGAGTTCTAAGGTGAGCGATGATTGATGGATGGATTTACTTTACAATGACGTGTCATAATTAATCATCTTTTGGAGCAGTAAAAATGCTTGTACATTTTTTGTTTATAATTTATTCTACACATTACTGATGATGGGGAATGTGGACATAATATGGATGACCTTGATTTCAAATTAACTAGAACCTTTGGCCTGAACCAGGGTCGGAGTGGGAACTAAATTCAGGCCCTCCTATAGAAATGTATCCAGGCCACCCACCATTTAACAATTAAAAAACCACTCTACATCAGTGGCGTCATATTATCAGTAATTATTTCTTAACAATTAGTTCTGCTGAATTATAGTCGAAACTGCACATTATCCAGGTGTTATAACAGAGGTATTCAAACTTTTTCATCCTGCGGCTCCTTTGTGTGTTCACAATATTTTTACGGCTCCCAAATTATTATGAAATTTCTAAACAAGACGAATACAATATTATAGCCAATATATGGGTGGTAATAACGGTGACTTTAGTACTGGAAATAAAACTTCAAATAGTCGGGTAATGTTTTTCATTATCGTTTCCATAATCGCGTTTATGATTATAAGTAATATTTATACTAATTATATACTTGACCTACATTAATTTTGGTGCATTTTAATGACATTTAAAGATCATATATTTTTTGAAAATTATACTATGTGTAGAAAATCTTAATAGGAGAAAATGTTCAATTACTTATCTACCGTAATTCGTTTTTGAATTATAAGAATATAACAAAAATAAGTTTTGTCTTGTTATGTGGAAAAAATCTGTTTCCCAATTATTAAGAATTATTTATTAATTAAAATTTTGATTTATTAACCCTAGTCTTTATAGTTTATACTAAGGTTAATAAGGTCTATTCAATTAATAGAAAGTACACATTGAGTCCTTGAGCACCAATGAGAGCACCAAATATTACATTTACTACCTATTTACATATATGAATTTATTGTACACTCCTATATAATTCACTTCTTATAGTTCATTATTTATTTGTTATTAGAAAATAAAAGAAATACATTTCAAGTTTCAACTCATAAAAACAATAGCAAATCCAAACAAAATTTATTTTACACGCAAAACCACAAACATTTAAATTTTTTTTAGAGGGTAAATTATTATATACAAAATACTAATTTAATCTAGGTAAATTAAAGGAAAAAAAAAATCAGTCATATATTAATAAATACATGTTAAATATTATAAGGAAAACTTTGAAATTACTCTGACTCACAGCCTTTGTTTTATTTTAATATACAATAATAAAAATATGTAATAAGTTCAATAATTGTAATTTTATCTTATAATAATTTAGTGTAACACCTTAACGCATAGCTTGCCACGGGCATAGATAATTTTATCATTATGACACAATATCAATAAAAATTATAAATGTAGCACAAATAAACACAAACGCTACAATTTTACTATCATAATTCAAATAAACTAAATGGTAATAAACTAAAGCAATTGAGATTCAATAGTTGAATATGTTATTTAAGTAGCTATGATAAATTCAATCCAACTATAGAAAAATTAGCATGGATGGCCCAAAATGTACTTTTAAAATAAATATTGGTATGAATTGAATTTAGCATTACATCTTATAGTTGAGATTAGTTACATTTATGAAAACACAACATTATAATAAATTAATATAAATAACAAACTCACAAATAAAAAAAAAACATAAATGTCACTCACAAAGGTTAATAATTAAGTGACAAATTTCCAAGCAAAAATTAAAAACGTATAAATAATCAGAACTAGCTCCTTTCAAATATTTAATTTTTAAGAAGTGAAATCAACATAGTATATAGTTAAGATTATGAGTAAATATTTCTATGTACTAAACAAAACAACTTACACTTATAGTGTATAGTTAAATGCTAATATTAAATAATGAATAACAATAGTAAACAATACAAAGACCTTACAGAATTCATATATTAATATTTTAATGACTAGAAAATTTTTTAATAAGCCTACCTGTGATTGTACTTTACAATTTACATGTAGGATTTTTTAAATTTTAATGATTTAGGTTTTTTCTAACTTAATTTTCTAACAATACTGACCAACAAAATAAATGGATTAAAAATAAAATTTTAGGAATAATGCATAGTATATTCAGTATTAAAAAGTTATCGAATAACAAGTGTTATTTGTTCAGCTATATTCTAATGACTAAAACACAATCTTATAGAATTTATGTCAGATGTTATATTGCACGCACCAATTTGCTAATATTACTTAAATGATTAAAAATATATACTTAATTAATTTAATAATAAGGCTTTGGTAAACAGACTACAGGAAATCAGTACTAAACTAGGTTATAATTATAAATAGTATTTAAATTATAGCACATTTCAAGTCTTGTGGGTAAAATATTAGCTGCAATTTTTTCAAAATAATAGACATTTAACATCAATAACACGAAAAAAATATTTTAAATATTAAAATATTATTATAAAGAGATTCAATATACAATAAAGAACAATAAATGATGATCAGTCTGAAAATATCAAGCATTATCATCACAACAAATTTAGTTAAAATAATTGTTTTAATTATGTTAAAACATAAAGAACTCTGACCAATACTTATAAAATAAAACAGTTTTTGATAGATTTTCATCAATGTCAAAGTTCTATTTCATACTGTAAATAATTATTTCACAAAATGTACATTACTCTAAATTATTTTAACCATCATTATGTAATACTGTAATAAATTAATACCATTCAACAAAATGTAACTACAATATTTTACCGATAAATGTAAAATATTATGAAAATGCCAATTAATATGTTAAAATAAATAATACATTTTGTACTTCATATGAGTTCAGTATGGAAAGCACCTTGTTCTTGGTCAAATTGAACAACTGAATGGGAAACTCGAAATTGTGGTTGTCGTGGATTGCGTATAAAACGGGATCTAGAGTTTGAGCAAGGTTTTGGAGAATTGCGTATTCGTGCTCGTTCCCATTCCATTAATAATGCATGTGTACGATGAATTTTTTCCAAACGTTGTTCTTCAATAGTTTGCGTATAATCTGCGCCCTAAGATATAATTTAAATTGTATTAATAGAAAATATTAATAATATTTTTTTTTTCAAAATGAGAATATATAGTAGATGGATTATCACTTACCATTTCTATTTTTTCATCTAACATTCTAAAGAAATTGAGTTGACTAGAAGATAATTGTCTATACATAGAATTATGTATAAGTACTCTATAATAGTTAATGACGAATAAAGAAATAGTTGCTTACGGATTGACAAATAACGAAGTGGAAGACTGTGGACATGACACACGTTGGTGTAGTGGACTTGAATCATCCATTTCAGTCATGTCACATAAATTGTTTACAGATGGTGTACTTGTCAGCTGTATTTGTTCTTCAATATGATTTTCGTAAGCACTGCCTTCACTTTTTTCATCATCTAAAAACAAATAGTTATTAATTAGAAATTGTAATTGTGTTATGGCAAATAAATTTGAAAATTGATTGTTAATTTAATGTTGTGTAAATTATTTTGATACAAACTATATAATAGGAACTTAACATTAAATTCTTCAATGTATTTCGTCATCGCAGAATGAAAAGGTTCTAACGTAATTTTTGTAATTGTTCTGGGGAACGTTTTTAAGTTAGCCCATACCAATCATTCATGTATGAATTAGAACCTTTTCATTCACTTTATCTCATTGTATAATCAACGGATCGATACAATTTCGGGAATGAATTATACAACAAAAAATATTTAATAATAATATGCAAAAAAACCATTTCTCAAAAAAATTGATTTAGAACCTTTTCATTCTGAGACGACGACGATTTCTTTTATTATTATTTATTGTATACTGTATCATGCTTTTGAATATCATGGTATTCCCATATATTTTACTACAGGGGTACTAAAGCTATTTTATCTGATAAAAGAATAAAGTTGTGTTACTTTGACTCTAATATACTATAGTGTGAACAATTCAATCGACACAGTATAGTGTGTCTATATTGATAAATATTTAAGGCTGACCAAGGTAAAATACATATCCTATTTAAAAATCATTTTTATCTGGTAATGAAATTTAAAAAAAAAGCAGATTCAATGATATCATTTGACATACGGTGGCACAAACGTATGTATGAAACCTTTTCAGTGCATCAAATCTATAATTATAATTAAGTGCACTACACAGTATAATAAAACATGTTTAAGAAGATTAATTAAAATAATACACTCCTTCACTATTACAATTACCTATTACATGTACAATATTAAATATATTATACTATAATGTGCACAGGTTGAGAACCGCTGTATCTAAGACAATAGCTTTATACGCAAAAGGGTACACGATACGAATGTTTTCAAAATTAAAATCGAGTAGTATCCTAATACGAATATAATGAATAATAATTACCTATAAATTGTGTAAATGTCCGATTGTAAAAAAGTAAAATATAGACAATTTAAACGTAAATAGTTAATATGCATTACCGGATTCTTTGTGCTTGTTTTTTTTCTTCTTGGTCTTTCTGGAATATGAGATTCCGAAGTGACTAGGACCACAGCCCATATTATGCAAACAGCGAAATCGTGTCCTCCGCTTCACGGTCTGTACTGGTTAGTTTTACCGTCCAACGAAGGCATGTTGTGCGACTGTTGGTCAAAAATATGACTAGGTATTGGATAAAAAAGCATCTTGCCGGTTGTGATGAAGTATAGCTACAGTCACTGTAGTTACATTTGAGGTTTAACGTAAAAAATTATAGATTACAATAGGTACATTTTGGAAGTTTAGCGACGGCGGGAGTGTCTTAATATATTTTTAGCGTTTTCTTAGCTTACAAGTAAAATATGTTTGAACACTCGAATAGGATACTTCAATCGGGTAAATATGAGGAACAATAATACGACGAGAATACTGTGAGTAAGTAGTAATTGTTATATTATTTATATTCGCTAAACGTTTGTAATTTTATTCAATATTATTAATATTTTTTAATATCTCAATCGTGATTCGTGTTGTGTTGATTGTTTTGATAATTTGATTTTGATAGTAAAAGTATGGAAAAAGAAATGTTGGAGATCAAGGTACTATCAACGCAAACGGTCACACTGTGCGAGCTTTTAACTTCCAAGCTCGAAGGCTCGATTTGAGAGCTGAAGTTCTCAGCTCAGTAACTTTTCCAAGTTTAAAATGGTTCAAACTATTTTAATACGTAAATCGTTTTTCCAAGTGACTAATGAGTAATGACTACTGATAACCAGTGGCGTATCCAGGATTTTTTTTAGGGGGGGGCACACACTGTCTAAAATTTTACCATATTAAATACTAACTAAAATACCACCAAAAACAAAAAATATAAAATGTAACAATTGCATTTAACGGAAGATCATTTTCGTATATTTTTGCAGCCTCTAAAATAGTTTTAGTATCATATTTATTGAAATGTGATGGGATTAACCCTTCAAGTGGAATAATTTCTCTTAACCTTTGATCAAATCGAGTCCTTAATTCACATATAATTTGGTCTAGAAATGGAATGAATATAGTTATTTTGTAATAATCTTCCGGATTTGTAACGTTCACATTAGCTCTTTGATTTTGTTTGCCACAAACTCGAGGTATTTTAATATCGACGTCTATTTTAGAACCAATCTTAAGTACTTCACTAAATATATTTTTGAAATGACTATCAACATTTTTACGAATAGATTCTAAAGATGCTCGTACAGTTACATCTTCATTTAGTGCTTTTGATAAGTCTTGTTGTTTACTTTGAAGAATTTGTCTTAAATTTAATGTATAAGAAACGGAGACCGTTAAACTGTCCGTGTCACCAAAACAGCTGTGTAACTATTCACTGGCGCCCTTTGGAACTAGAACCCCGTTAGTGAAACGTGATAACGGTAATAGTGATTACTGAATACTGGTATATTAAGGCATAAGATAAGCGTATTATTGAAGTATGCGTTCATTGCGTTCATGTATATGAATACATTTAAATCTTTAAAACAAAATCTAGTAAATACGGCCAACGAGGGGGGGGGGCCATATGCATTTATGAACAAATATGCAAAAACCCTCGAAATATGCAAAATATGCAATATAAAATTTGGTGTTTAAAATCGGTGTGGTATGAAACGTGGACATTTTAAACCCCCATAGACGTGCATACACTTAGTACGAACATGCAAATGCATATAAATCCGGGCTCTAGTTATTATATTATAGAGCAATATTATATATTCTATAAAGATTTTGATAAATTGTTGAGTAAAATCACCTATTTCAAAAATTTTACCTACAGCATAAAATGTTTGATGGTTTTGAGTGAATGCATTTTGTCTATGTAGCGTGGGCAACCATAACCAAAATAACTGTTGGTGCAAAAACAAACAGTATACCGACATTCTCTTAATATGTACAAAACAAATAATAATTTAAATACATGGGGTTTTATATAAGGAAAAAAATTGACTTAACATGACAATAAAATTAGGTAACTCAAGTTACTAGATAACATGGAAACATTCTACTTAGAAGTTACTTCAAAAAAAAAAAAAACTCGTATTTTCTTAATATATGTACCTAATAATACGCAACTAATCTAAAAGTACTAAAAGCATAGCACTAATCATGGAAATAATTAAACAAAAAAGGAATTTTAGGTTTTATTATTTATTTAAAAAGTTCAAATTATTAAAAAATATATTCTCAAAAATAATCAATAATTGACTCCCTCTGACGGTTGACAGTTATATAATATAATATCCTTAGATAGATATGATTTTAGTTATACAATAGAAAAAAATTAGTTTTTATATTATATTATATTTAATAAAATATAATTTTATTACAATCAGGAAAAAAAATATAATAATATAACATTAATTGTTTTAATTGGGTATAAAGAAATAATGAATATAATTAGAGTATTGATTATAATATCAAATATAGTAATATTGTAGTTTTAATACAAGACATTAACTGAATTAACAACATTGATGTAAATCCAAAGCTCTCTCATTAGATACATTCAGAATATTTATTATTGTTTATTAACATTTAACACAGTTGCGAAAAATTTGAAACTATATTTTAGTAGTATATTAAGCTTATCAACTGTATAATAAGTAATGTTATACAAAAAAAAAATAATTATTATAACAAGTTAATATGAAACCAACTGAATTTTCTTAATCTTAAAACAATATAATGTATTTTAATTTTTAAAAATCATCCTTTATAAAGGAATTAATTAGTTTACCAACATTTTTATCAAATCCAATAATAAACAATGTATTTCCTCGACCTAGATTAATTTGATCATAATGCTTTCCATTTAGACAAAGTAAAATAATTCTGAAAAATATAGAAACAGTGTTTGAATTAATATAATAACTATAGTAAGTATTAAGTACAAGAAATTGTAAATAGTATTAAACTGGTTTATAACCAGTCAGGTAAAACTTTGGTTTTTTCATATTTTAGTCATTAGTTATAGTAAATATTGGTTATGGAATGGTTATGGCGTTAGAAAATGATAAACAGATGCTGCTTATAAATTGATTGCAAGGCCTGGTTTAATCTTTCAAAAATAAAGTAAATCTAATGTTTAAGAGGATGCCATAAGTCCATAAATTGTTCTATAAGAACAGTTAGCACAGACTCTTACCTAAGAACCTAAGATATCGTCTTAGTTAAAACTTAAGGTCTATTACCCCTTTGAAATTAAAAGGTTTTTAAAATACATTTTTCATATTTGTAAGCTGTTTCATAAATTATTATAAATATAAGTAAATATATTTATATTTTAATTTAGAAAAAAAAAATTATTAAATTCCAATTTATACTTATACACAGGGGATCATAATTAGATTCCACACAACCACTTGAAGTAATTAAAAATAAAAAGAGAACAACTTTAACCGTGCAATATTGGTTTTTTTAAATCAGTATAGATAACATTTTTTTTTTTTTAAATTTGTTATTTTAATGTTTTTTCAAACATCTTCTACTTCTTTGTAAACAAAAATATCAAAACACATTTAAATAGTTTAAGTTTTATTAGTAGCAAAAATGCTCCAATCATAAACTTTGAGAAAGATTTCTGGTAGAAAATAAGATATAGTACTTTTAGCCATTAAGAGGTAAAAATTGAAGAGATTCTCAGCAATTAAAAGCCGGGTTCACACGACACGACGAGGTGTGAACAGGGACGGACTGGGACAACTATTCAGCCCGGGAAATCTATATTTTGACCAGCCCTCACCATTTCGTCATCACTAAATGTAAGAATTAAATATGGTACCAAAGTTTTAACAAATGAGGGTTGCATCCTCTACTCATCTTCAATTTTCTCAGGAGACAACTTAAGATTCTCAATGTGTTTAGTATTTTATCTTAATTACATGTACTGCATAGTATAATGTATCACTTTCTGTGGATGAAAAACATAGGTCGTTCTTACTACTTTAAGTTTTAACTTGATATTTCTAAGAGTTATCCTTTCTCTCTCTCTCTCTCTGATTTTCTCAACCCTACCCTTTCTTTTAGTTTCCATTTTAAACAACAAATGTCAAATAGATAAGTAAATATTACACTTTTTTGAATTAAGAATGTTCCATTGAACGTACGAAACTGTACCTTTTATAGTTATCAGCTTATGAGTACCTATCAAATTATCACAAATTATTTTTTATATTTTATTATTATGTAGGTATAATTATATTATATTTTTTATTGTGTACAATTTAATATTAGGTATTAGGTAATATTAAGTGAATACTGGCTGGCTAGAAGTGGATATATTAATCGATTGGTTTAATAAAGTCATATTAAGTTATAAATAGGGCATGGATATAATATATAAATACAATAAAAAAAACAAGAAACATGTCTTAAAAATACGATTTTATGCACTAGTTACAATATTACAACGCTTAATAAAATGCCCAGAAAAATTAAAAGCCAATTTAAATGAAAATAAAATAGGTAGAACTTAAATAGGTATAGTCGTTAAATTTTGTATTTCATTATATCACTGGTCAGTCAGAAGCTAACTAATATTTTCAAATAAAAAACTTACAGTTATAATTGACAAGTATTGTTTTGTATAACTGAAGTCATAGGAGTAAACATCAGACGTAATAAAATAGAAATATTAGTAAAAAAATTGATTTTTAATTATATTAAATTTATTGAAGGAATTTAAGCAATAGTGCCCATAAAATTGTATTTATACTTATAAAATTTACGAAAAATTCCAACCAACATTTTCAAACCATAAAAATGTCAAAAAAATGTTCTAAAAATCAATAAAGTTAAAAAAATGCTAAATAAAAATTTCATTTTTAAATTACTTTATGTATGAAATACATTTTTTTGATTGGAAAGCCTGGATGTTTAAGGAAATGTAGAAAAAAATTCAATTTATATTTAAATTTACACTCTAGTTATAAATAATAATTTGTGATTATGCATTGATGCCGAAGGGCTGGTCAATCAGCTGAACCGAAACCTAAAATCTTTTATCTTATACTTACACCAAATATAATATAAATAATTTT